CTGCTTCTGAAGGTGTGCAGAAACACTGCTTCTGAAGGTGTGGAGAAACACTGCTTCTGAAGGTGTGCAGAAACACTGCTTCTGAAGGTGTGGAGAAACACTGTTTCTGAAGGTGTGCAGAAACACTGCTTCTGAAGGTGTGGAGAAACACTGTTTCTGAAGGTGTGCAGAAACACTGTTTCTGAAGGTGTGGAGAAACACTGCTTCTGAAGGTGTGCAGAAACACTGTTTCTGAAGGTGTGGAGAAACACTGCTTCTGAAGGTGTGCAGAAACACTGTTTCTGAAGGTGTGGAGAAACACTGCTTCTGAAGGTGTGCAGAAACACTGTTTCTGGGTACAGATATCCTCTCTTCTCTAACACCGAAACACTACATCGTTGGGTCTCGGAGGCTTTGGTCAAACTCAATATACTTAATAGGTAAATGGGCTGCAGCCTCCTAACTCAACTAGACCATGGAAATATTGTTGGTGATGCTGCTCTCTGCTCTCAGCTGATGGGCATCATTCTTTTAGGATTTAGTGCTGGGTCTAGGGAAACAGAATTACATGTTATCATATTTACATTTTCTGGTGAGTGAGTGTGAGTGCGTGTGTGTGTGTGTGTGTGTGTGTGTGTGTGTGTGTGTGTGTGTGTGTGTGTGTGTGTGTGTGTGTGTGTGTGTGTGTGTGTGTGAAACTACCACACGAGGTGATGAATGATAGTTCTAGGCCTTTTATGTTCCAACACTTCCTCAAGAGCTTGCAATGTTGCGGAAGGAATAGAGATTCCGCGCACATGAATGAGAATGTCTGCTACTAGAAGACAGATCGAGGGTAGCAGCAGGTGGTGCATGGTACTAGAAGAGAGCCCGAGGGTAGCAGCAGGTGGTGCATGGTACTAGAAGAGAGCCCGAGGGTAGCAGCAGGTGGTGCATGGTACTAGAAGAGAGCCCGAGGGTAGCAGCAGGTGGTGCATGGTACTAATACCAGGTGCCAGAAGTTGAAGGAGTATATTAAGAACCAGTAGGAACCGACAGTCCAGTCGGTCATATGTTTGCATACATTGTACGGGGTCACATCAATGCTTCCCACAGATCAACAATGACAGCTAGAGTGAATATGTTCTTCTGAGACCTAGAACACCTCATGATGCTTTAACATCAGCTGTTTAAAGTATTGCACGGTATAACACACCAAAGAACATTACGGAATTTTTCACTTATTCCAGTAAAACCACTGAATTCTGTCCAAAATGAAAATAAAAGGAACCCAATGGAAGTAAGTCACTTATGAGTTATTCTAATAATAATAATGTCTAGCCAGTACATGTACAAGGTATACAGATCATAGCTGACATCAATAACATACTACTATATAGAAAGCCACTTGATAAATTAGACACATGTGCAACTCTTGGGTATCTTTATTGATACCCAAGAGTTGCACATGTGTCTAATTTATCAACATGTCGGTTCTCTGAACCATTCATCTACAAAGAAAGCCACTTGTTATGCGGAGCATTTCCCGCAGATTAGGTCAGATTTGTCCCAGGATGCGACCCACACCAGTCGACTTAACACCCAGGTACCCATTGTAATGGGTACCATGCATCAGAAATAATTACTTATGGGTGAACTTGGGCAACGAGTGTAGGGAAACACGTCCAGTGTTTATACCCTTACTTTACTACATTCATACATACATGCGTATACACACGCCAAATTCAAGTGTCAGGGTCAGGAGAGACATGATAACGACATATAAAATACTGCGTGGAATAGAGAAGGTGGACAGAGACAGGATGTTCCAGAGATGGGACCCAGAAACAAAGGGTCACAATTGAAAGTTGAAGACTCATCTGAGTCAAAGGGAGGTTAGGAAGTATTTCTTCAGCCACAGAGTTGTTAGGAAGTGGAATAGTCTGCCAAGTGATGCAGTAGAGGCAGGAGCCGTACATAGTTTTAAGACGAGGTATGATAAAGCTCATGGAGCAGGGAGAGGGAGGACCCAGTAGCGGTCAGTGAAGAGGCGGGTCCAGGAGCTGAGTCTCGACCCCTGCAACCACAATTAGGTGAGTACATACATACACTGAAACATACATCCGTATCTATAATACGACAGGACTAGCGACATTAATATTCCATGTATGTTGTCAACGTTACTTAAAAACCAATGCCCCTGCCATAATTATTCATAAAACTTAAAAAAAAAACAGAGTTTAAAACGACTGTATTTTCCCTGGGTTGCGTGTGTTTTGAAGTCTGTGGATGTGTTCTGTTTTGGGTAATTGTCCAGCCGGCTTCGTCTTGTGTGGAGAAGCCGATGTCGATATTTTATTCCTGGAGTCTGTTAGGTAAGACACATATGCAACAGTTAGACAACTTTATTCCGAAACGTTTCGCCTACACAGTAGGTGATGGACTGATTACATCGTCTTCACATCTCTACTGTTCCTGCCTACTTTCTGTATTCGACTGAAGAAGCCTACTGTGTAGGCGAAACGTTTCGGAATAAAGTTGTCTAACTGTTGCATATGTGTCTTACCTAACAACCTGTCGGTATTGTATACCATTTTGATGTTCATCCTGGAGTCTACCTGGAGGACATTCCGGGAATCAACGCCCCGGCGGCTCGGTCCACGACCAGGCCTCACGGTGGATCAGGGCCTGATCAACTAGGCTGTTACTGCTGGCTGCACGTAGTCCAACGTACTAACCACAGCCCGGCTGATCCGGCTAGTAAACATTAAAGATAATCTTTACTCGTGTTAATTGTACATTCTGACATAGTTCGGAATATATAATTAACTGTCAGAATTTCTTGCTTGAATATCACTTTAAAAATCCCTTCCAATCTGTGACCTTAAATCTTAAATTATATATACGGTACAGTTATAGAAGCTAAAACGTTGTGTAGTTTTAAAAATACGTTGGATATATACATGAGTGAGTGTGAGTTGGACCTGACTAGCTTGTGCTACTAGGTCACATGCCGTGCTCCTTAAGTGAATGTGACGTGACCTAACTAGGTTAGAGCATTGGCTTAAGCCTAGGAGACCTGCCTCGCATGGGCCAGTAGGCCTGCTGCAGTGTTCCTTCTTTCTTATGTTCTTATATACGGAAAGTGTCCCATTTTTTGGTTTTCTAATTTCCTGGTGTTTTAAACGATCATACCATTAATTTTTTCTTCTTCAAAATATACAAGAATAATAAAATGTGTGAAAAAGTAATTATAACAAATTTAAAATAAACTAATTGAATTACTGAAGAGGAACGAAATGACTGGAATAACATAGAGGATAATGAACATCAAAATGGTATAAAATACCGACAGGTTGGTAGGTAAGACACATACGCAACAGTTAGACAACTTTATTCCGAAACGTTTCGCCTACACAGTAGGCTTCTTCAGTCGAATACAGAAATTAGGCAGGAACAGTAGAGAAGTGAAGACGATGTAATCAGTCCATCACCCTTGAAGTCGTAGAATTTGAGGTTGTCAGTCCCTCAGCCTGTCGCTTGATCTTCAGATAGTTCCTGACTATGGAACTGAACTTCTCCAGGCCGAGGGACTGACAACCTCAAATTCTACGACTACAAGGGTGATGGTCTGATTACATCGTCTTCACTTCTCTACTGTTCCTGCCTAATTTCTGTATTCGACTGAAGAAGCCTACTGTGTAGGCGAAACGTTTCGGAATAAAGTTGCCTAACTGTTGCCTTTGTGTCTTACCTACCATAGAGGATAATAATGAGATGGGTAGGATAACGTGGCTGGAATAACATGAACGATGAGATTAGTGATGCAGTAACGATGATAGGATAACTGTAATGATAAACTGAGTGGAGATGTAGTAACAGGATAACAGGAGTGGTAATGAAACAATATTGATAACAAGACTTGATAAGTCTTGTTATCAATATTGTTAAAACAGGAGTGAAGAAACCATACCCCCGGCCGGGATTGAACCCGCGGTCATAGAGTCTCAAAACTCCAGCCCGTCGCGTTAGCCACTAGACCAGCTAGCCACAATAAGATTCATCCAACTAGGTATATTTCTACACCATAGGAAAGTTAGCACAGGCACCTCTGTGACCACAAATGCGACGGGCTGGAGTTTTGAGACTCTATGACCGCGGGTTCAATCCCGGCCGGGGGTATGGTTTGTTTGCAATCGTGTTATTACGATTTCTTGAGTCAGGAGTGAAGAAGTCGTGTTGGTGATCACTTGAGAAGAATAGTGGAGATATAGTCACTGGATTTATGATGATGAGATAACGTTACGCCACACAGTAGCTTCATCAATCCATACAAAGGAGAATGGTCAAGAACAGGATGAGTTTGAGGTAATCAGTCCCTCAGTCTTGAGTCGATGTAATCAGTCTATGTAATCAGTCCTTATAACATATCTGGAGTAGCATAATGTGAATAGCTTTCCAGTGATAACATTACAGGTGTTGTGGTGTAACCTCGAGTGGATGACTGATTCTTAAGATGAAAAAACATTAAATAACAAAAAGGCACAATACCGTGACTGGAACGATACACAAATAACCCGCACATAAAAGAGAGAAGCTTACGACGACGTTTCGATCCGGTGGGGATGGCCGGGTGTCGTGCGTGTGTCATTTCATCCTGTCGGTATTATATACAATTCTTGTACTACTACTATTACTACTACTACTACCTCCACCTCTTCCTGCCTATATATAGCCGTCCTGCTCCACCTCTGTTAGTGTGACTTTGTCAATGGTCCAAGTCGGACCGAAACGTCGTCGTAAGCTTCTCTCTTTTATGTGCGGGTTATTTGTGTATGAAAAAACATTATGAATAATATAGGTGGTTATGCCAAATTAGTAAAGAATTGAATAATCTTCAGTTTTTTCATGCGATATTAAATTACTTATCATAATTATATTATTCTTAGTGTTATTACATGGAATCTAAAGTTCCAGAGTGAAACAGTTTTTGACAGCTCATTTCATTGTTTAAAATTAATTAACAGAGACTGTAGGCTTACCGAAAACAGGAGCAGAGAGGAGTAGCAGAATAAGTAAGACAGTCACTTGTATCAAGCGTTCTATCTTCCTCCATCCAGCTTGACTCTCACGACAAGCTGGCGAGGAAACAGTTCGTCCAGCTGGAGATATGAACCAGCTGGAGTGAAATTTAGTTTCCTAGTTGGAGCTTTGATGCCAACTGGAGGCGAACATTATTATCCAGGTTGGTGATGGCAGACCAAGTCGCTCTGTGTATGTATTTTTAAGTGACTGGAAGTCCATATTGACCGCTGAGGACTTATATTCATCAAATGAAATGGACATCAGGTGAGTAATGTGCGTCTTTTCTGAGCATTTTGTGTTGTGAAGAGATGCAGAAGTGTTGTAGAGAGAGATACCTGGATTGTTATGGCACGGATATGTCAATATATGTTTTACCGATGTCCTTGAAGTTCTCTTTCGTGGCATGGATGGGCTTTTATTTGCTTTAAGAAGTCTGGGGTCGTGATCGCAGGTGTCGTCATATTGAATGTATCTTGTGGAGGGCGCAAGTGGCTGATGATGCTCCACCCCGGTTAGCATGTCCACTTTAACTCTTCCCTCCATAGGACATACTACACTGTTAGTTATGGACGACACTACCACAGTATCCCTAGTGTGACTAACTCTATCAGTTACCATTATTTTCGTACCATATAAAGTAATTCTCTCTCGGAGTTCGTAATCTAACTTTCCTGCTTCACAACTGACTTTTCTTTCCGTGATAATTGACTTTCCAACTTTTTTGTTTCTCGCTTTTTTCAGTTACTTTAATCACCTTTTTCTTTTCTTTGTATTCCTTTGGTATTAACTGGTTGTTGATGTCTTTCCCTCCGGTGATTATCTCAAAACATTCGCCATATTGGCTAATATTACCGCAAGATGCTGTCATTTGTTGACAGTTTTCAGAACTATAACACCCAGATCATACCGCAAGATGCTGTCATCTGTTGACATTTTTCAGAACTATAACACTCAGATCATACCGCAAGGTGCTGTCATCTGTTGATAGTTTTCAGAACTATAACACTCAGATCATACCGCAAGGTGCTGTCATCTGTTAACAGTTTTCAGAACTATAACACCAGATCATCTCCCTACACTCACTTTTTCTGAGATAATTAAATCACTCTGTTTCACTGTTATCTACGAAACACTGACCAAACACACTTAATGGAGACATATTGTTGATCATATTTCCAAAGTGTGTGTTCAGAATGCACTATACTGTTGCCAGTTAGTAATAGGCTATAAATTTAATACGAATTTTGTAGCAGACTGTGACAGAATTACGAATTAAAACTCAGGTTGATGAGTCAAGCCAAAATCATACCACAATGATTGTAATGGACTCAGCAAAAATAGATATTCCGACAGTCCAAGATTTTCATCTTCAATAAGTTATTTTCTTGCTGTGTCCTGGCAGGCACCTTTCGATGACCCTGGCAACGAAAAAAAATTGCTTAACTACAAGAAATACAAAGGGTGTATTATACAATATGGGGGTAACGGTGGAAAAGCAAAAATAACCTTGTTTCACATGGGATTCCACAAAACGAATAAGGAAGAAAGAAAAAAAGGAACGAACAACAAACAAGGAAATATAAGAGAGTAAGGGGGAAAAAAAGTAATGGAACAACGTGAAGAAGACATAGTAAATAAACAAAGGAAAACAGTAACAATAGAAAGATGAAGGAGCACAGCGTTATAAAGAAACTGTTGAATGGAAGGGAGACGCTGAGAACCACCCCATAAATTTACTTTGTAAATTAATGGGACCATATTTTACCTTATACTTGGCACTCGTGGGTCACTGAATCATATTTCACTTATGATGGAATTCACAGTGATATAAACACCAAGTATCCCTCAACCTGACAGTAATAATATACATTTTACGGGTAAATCTGAAGATCAACATGAGTTTGAGATATATATATATATATAATATATATATATATATATATATATATATATATATATATATATATATATATATAATATATATGCAAAACAACCACTCTGAATAGAATAGAGAAATTCCAAGCGCTTTCGTGACTACTCACATTATCAAGGAACTTGATAATGTGAGTAGTCACGAAAGCGCTTGGAATTTCTCTATTCTTTCAGAGTGGTTGTTTTGCATATTCTGAAATCACCTGTTTACTGTGATCTTATTGCATATATATATATATATATATATATTATTAATATATATATATATATATATATATATATATATATATATATATATATATGCTACCTAAACACCAGACTGAGCTAAGAGGGACACAAAGCATTTCTGTTACCCTGAAGAGTGAAAAGATCACTGGAGGAAGCAGGGAAAGCAAAGTTCATATATGAATTCAAAGGAAACTGAAAAGGTCATGGAGTAATTGTGCATCAAAGTGTCCGACGACTGTGGGACAGAGAGGAATCTTGAGAATATCAGTGAGTTTACCTTGACCGCAATAGAAGACAAAAAGAACGAGAACAACTAAAAGTGAGAGTAAGAAGACATTAGAAGAAGGAAACGGAGTGATGGCACCGACAGACAGGAAAGCTCAGCCTCAAAGGGAATTCCAATCATAAATGCTCACAGAACCCCCTCAGCCTCTACCATCCCATACCAGCCAAACATAATAACCATAAACAAACCACACTCTACAGCCCCCACCCACCCAACACTAATACCACCATCACAGCAGCCTTTCATAATTCCCCGCCCTGCCTTCCACACCCCCAGTCTGCACCAATTCCTCTCTTCCCAAAACACATTACTGGAAAGGAAGCTGAAGGTATTGTACACCAATGCAGATGGAATAATATAAAAGATTGTGGAGTGGCAACAACGAATCATTGAGACATCCCCAGGGGGATGATATCAGATGCAATCTTTCAGATCCTGAGGAAAGGTAAGGGGAACAGAGGGGGAGGAGGAGTTGCACTGCTCATCAAAAACCAGTGAAGTTTTGAGGAAATGGGAGGATTGGATAGACTGGATAATAGCTCTGCAGACTGGGGCTCCAAATGCGATGATAGCAGTGATAAACAACACACTCCTGAACAGCAAGAGACCAAGGCAAGAGTACAATGAGAACAATAGAGCAATAGTGTATACACTAGCTGAAGTGGCCAGAAGGGCTCACATGGGGGGAAGGACAAAGTTACTTGTCATGGGGGATTTCATTCACAAGGAGATGGACTAGGAAAACCTAGACTCCTAGAGGAATATCCTCTAGGTTTTCCTAGTCAATCTCCTGTTAGGGATACAACCAGAGAGAGAGTGGGGGGGGGGAGATGTTCCAGAAAGACTGGACCTCATATTCACCTTGAACACTTCAGACATAGGGGATATTACACATGAAAGGCCCTTGGTGCTAGTGATCATGTGGTCCAGAGTTTCGAAGACCTTGTTACAAAAAACGCGATTCTAAAAGCTTAGAGATCTCCAGTGAATACTAGAAAGGACTGCCCTTCTAGCATCCAGCCTGTTACTGGGTTTTCGTAACAAGTAGTCAGTATCCTTGTCCAATTATCCATTAAAATTCAGTATTATTCAATAGTGCTTCAGGATTACAACTGGTAGGCTACTAATTAGAGAAATTAAAATTTAATAAATTTATTAATCATTAAGTTGTCTAGAGGTACATTATCAAATTAAATTAATTCAAGCAATCAAAATAAAATCAATCTCTCGAGTTCAACATTATTGTGCTGAAAGCACATATCACATTTATAATTCTTAAGTACCATTTGGTACATTAACATTTAATAAGATATTACAAATATGTACAAGTGTGTATGTATGTAAGTGCTCTAAGTAGTTCGCTATGTCTCACGACTCGACTAGACTTAAACAAGTGACTGACAAAGTCCTCACATAAACTAACTTCTGGACCGACTGGCAACCTGAACAGTCTGCTTGAACAATGAAAAGAATGCTAAGCCCAATAGCCATATAACAAGCGACTGCGACACAATCAGGATCAAGGAGATAATATAATGACACTAAGCAGGGACCATCAGCAGATCCTCCAAAAAAGTTACAAAACTCCTATACTACTGAATCTTAAGTTCAGCATAGGAAAAACCCGACTGTGAAAATACACAGAAACCAGTACAAAATTAGGTCAGAAGCTATAGCTCAGGACCTGAGATGCTCAGAGTGTCTATGTGACACACAACCTCAGTACAACGTCGAAAATCACTAAGTCTATACAATGTTCTGTGAACAGAGTTCTACAGAACTAACAAGAATAATGAGACAGACAATCTGTCCAACCACCAAGCGAGTCTAGAGCAGACTGAATACTTCACGAGAGGTGAGGACACCCCCCCCTCGATCACGTGATAGCCCCGTGGACAGCACAGCTCAGAAGCCGGCAGTATAACGAGCGACAAGTGATAATTACAGTTGTTTGACAATCAAGACTTGAACTGAGCACATATTATGTACATCCTAACAACATAAGTCAAATAACAATATAACAGTCAAATAATAATATAAAGTCATACATTTACGATTTAGCTATTATCGCAAATATAAGCAATATAAAATTATATGAAAAGGTAATATACATTATATATATACATAATAATCATTGTAACCCATTCAGGGGTTGCAACACCCCCCCCCCTAACACGACAGAGGGTCGCACTAGGAGTTGCATTAATGTCTTTCACATTATTTCTGATTACTCATATCAATCTAATTTAATATAAATATTAATCAAAGTCACTCTTGTGCCAAGCACCGCTACAATTTCACAGCGTCCATCACTAGGATATGCCCCTAGTACTAGGGCAGTACACAGTATCGTATCTCTGCATACTCGTGGTTATATACATCAGTGTAGAGACAGGGCACGATGAGGCTCGATCATAGTAGAGGAGACTGCATTCCACTCTTAAGTAGTGGTTGTGGAATGCGAGGCAGTATGAACATCTGAGTTTGAAACAGCTTAAGGTGTGTAGTGAGGGGGGGGTCTGCGGCAGGACAGTGTTGCGTCACGCAGTACATCACCCGCACCACACTACCCACTCAACACTCAGCTTGTCTCCTCCTCACACAACAATACTGTGAATACATAAATATAATAATTAGACATGACATGAGTATATATAGTTAATATGGGCTGGAGGGATTAAGTTACTTTACTGAATTTGACATAGCAAGTAACAAAAGGTATTTGGGCATAAAATTACGTTAATTTAATGTAACTGATAATTATTAAGGACGAGACAGGGCGTCAGCAATTACATTACAATGACCACTTATGTGTTTTATACTAATAGATTAAGGTTGGATTCTGAGAGCCCACCTCATGATCCTAGCATTTTTACTTTTCATAGTGTTTATGTAGGTGAGTGGATTGTGGTCAGAAAAAACGTTAATTTTAAATGGGGAAGTGCCCAAATACACGTCAAAATGTTCCAAGGACACCACAAGAGCTAGAGCCTCTTTCTCAATAGTGGCATAATTTTTCTGGTGTCGTTTAAGCTTAGATGAATAGTAACATATAGGATGGAGAATATCAGTG